AATAGTACCATTGGAGGTGTTAATTCTAGTACCGTTTCCACTATTAACACAGACAAGATTGTGTTTGTCCATTACATTTTCGATGATATTACCATTGGCATCAGTCATTTTACTTCCCCAGAGGGAGTTGTGGCTGTTAAAGTCTTCACAAATAATAGTATTCTTACTTATATGATTTTCGATGTCAGTTAAAGAATCGTCCTTCAAAGTAAGACAAGAGTTATAAGCATTAATAATTTTTAATTTACTTTTATCACTTTTATTCACTTCAAGGACTTGATACTGGAAAAGGGAATCTTTGTCAAAAATGTTTTGAACAACAAGGGCTTTTTTGGTAAAAATAGCACATCCCCCGCCAGAGGATTTAAGGATAGGTTTCCTGTCACATCTGTAAATGTTATATCCAGGAAGATTGAAATTCTTACTTTCTTTAAGCCATGTTTCTTGTATACAAATTATATCAGGTTTGTCCTTCCAGTCATTTATAGCATGCTTGAGTTCATTTCCATGTGCATTCCATTGAAAGATAAAGACCATGAGGATAAGATTCATGTTTATGTTTGCTGACTTTCCCCTTTTGACCGATTGAATGTTTTCAATGCTGTTTTGAAGTTTCAGTTTGTGAGGACTTAGCAGGGGCTCCTCTGTGTTTGGTTTTGGACTGAGAGGATTTCCTTTGTGTCCCCTGCGGGGACGCACCAGTGCTTGAGGATTGTGTATGAGCATTACGTTTTCTCTCTTTGTCTGATGCCTGATGTGTTTTGGTTGATTGGTGGAATAAGTGATTAAAGAGAGACTTTATTTCTGATTCCCTACTTTCTTTATTTTCAGTTGACTCCCAGATAAGTAGTTCTATTAGCGAGTTATCTGCCAACAAATATGGTGAGATGGGTTCACAGTTTGGCTAGCTACTGATACATCTTTGGTTTGAGTAGAAACCTTTCTTTTGGACGACGGTTGTAGATTCTGTCTTCTTTGTTCACTGCTGACATGTACATTTTGTGTATTTTGTGTGTTCGCCCATGTTTTGTTTGGAGTCCAGGTTTTCAATTTAAGTGCTGGAGAAAGTGTGTCAGGCTTTTCAGCATGGACAGTGATGTCTGTACGGATAGACTTCGCTGCCTCAGCGTAGGATATGTTGTAGGTTACTCTAACTTCTTGGATTTCCTTTTCTTCTCTCATGGTATCGCAACCAGCATAGGCAGAGAGGCTGTTTCCAGTTTGTCCATTTCTTTTGAAAGTGAGCCTTCGTGCATCCATGACACCGTCTTTTTTGCATTCCTTGAGGATTTCTTTATCAGAGAGTTCAAGTGGTACTCCAGAGATAACACCTTTACTTTGTGTTTCTGATTTCGCAAACTCGGTTGTAACGGACCACTGTCCAAGCGTATTGATTCTTTTAAGTTTGTTAGCCTGACCAGGTGTGTGTCATTTAACACTGATGCCACCTTGGTTGGTTTTAGTGACATTTTTAATGATGTTCGGTCCAATTTCATTGAGAGCTTTGGCTATTTTAATGGGATTTATCTGAGCAAGTTTGATATCTGGAGAATTTATGATTACAGTGGTAGGTTTGCATTTTCTTGGGACGAATACGAATAAGCATTTACATTTCTTCTCTTTTGGTATCGAGAATAGGAACTGTTGTTAGACTCTTTAGAATCTTCACTTGGCTTTAATTGGTTTCGCTCTTTTTCTGGACATTGGTCTCCATGAAGTTTTTGGCGAACTGACCCGAGCTTCCATATCTTTGGCATGCTCAGTATTTTTGTTATTGCTATCTGCATTGCTATCGTCGTCATCATTTTGGCAATCTTGGGCTTGACTCATGAGAATGTCTAATGTAGAGCGTGGTTGGTTATTGTTTTGATTTCGACTATGCCTAGATTTATATTCTGATATCTGCTGTTGTGATAGCTGATCCCATGTCATGTCTTCCTCACTTTCGTCGGCCATGTTGGCCCAACGATGTAGCTTTAGTATGTGTAGTTAGTATCTGCAGATGTTACTGTAAATGGTCTGAAAAGCAGCAAGAAAAAAAAGAAACAGCAAAGCAAGCAGAGTCATGCAAGCATGAAAGCAAAGAAAAGATTGCGTATGGAGAAGGTCTCACCACTCGCACAGCAACGTAGAGAACACGTCCGTACCCATTCAAAGCTCAAGCCTCTCTCGCATTGTGAATGTATCCCTTAATTTTTATTTGATCACTTTGAAATGTTTGTTATTTTCTTTATCATGGTTTCTTTGACGTGACTCGCGTGACAGGATAGAAATAGGGATTTTTCATATCCTTTGATTCTATAAGCATTTCCTATGAATGTACAAGTGTGCTAAAGTAAATTTTCACTGAACGAAAAACTTAATACTCTGACCTAATCCATGCAAAGGTTACATTGTGCCAAGTCTCTCTTGTTGTGAGAAACGTTCTGAAGAAAATGTGACTCTCGTGACACAAATTTGTGACTCGCATGACACAGTAGCGTTTTACTTTTTTATTATAACTGTAATACGAGTAAAACAATTCAAATTATAATATTACATTAATAAAAATGATGGACCTGCAAATAAGAGGGTGAAAACTGCTATTTATTCCTTTACTTTGGCAAATTTTGGGGTGGTATTTAACGCAATACACCATGAATGTGACCTGTCACAACAAAATGAGAGTAAAGTCGCATCCCACTCTTTCCTGTTTTGAGGGTTCAAAGTTTATATTGAAGTAGAGGACAATTTTTTTGTTTTTTTGATATTTGGAATGATTAACCCACCTCCTATTTAATTTCAAATATTTTGCAGAATCACATATTGTAAAATGTCATTTTCTTAGCAATTTTGACGATAGCATTATTTGTGCCTGGTCTTAAATGTTGAAACAATGTCGGGAAGAAAGACGCAAAGCTGCAAGAATAAAGCCACATTGTCATCTTATACATTTAGCCTAAGTGTTCCATGTACATACATGTACATGTACCAATATCTCAGTTTTTGAAAATTCTGACTTTCAGCTCATTTTGTGCTCACAGGTCATATATTCATAACAATGACATTGAGTAAAACTGCCTCTGAATTTAATTGAAGTGAGTGTCATGAATTCCACTATCCACGATTATTTCAGAAAAACAGTTGTAATTTTTGGTTTGTCCAATGCTTTTTCTTTTGCACTTTCAATGATCTCCTCATTGAACTGCAGCTGTCCCCTATTCATCAGGTTGGGTTGTGGCACTGTGCACAGTACATGTATATCATCTACTGGCTACCAAGATTGGGTGTCTGAATATATGCTTGCCCGTCTTACCTACATGTACATGTATTGTGCATACATGTACATGTGCCCATCATCATACTTGCATGTATTGTACGTGTAATTGACTGAGTTTACAAAGGAAAGAGCTGCAATTAATGATGCAATTGTACGGGAATGTACACGTAGCTACGGCATCATTTATTTGGTAAAAATCTTTCATTTCATTATCTGATTCAATTTCATGTTTTCACCATGAAAATTACACTCAATTTCAATTCCTAGCATGTGACTCGCCTGACATACATGTACAGTGCATGTGTGTGACTCGTGTGACACTCTTGACAGAGTTTTTTCTACAAGGAACGCAAAGCAAATAAGAATATTAACGCTTTTAATGATAGACCTCAACTATATGATTTACAAATATCAAACACTAGCTGAATCCCTGTCTAGTTTTTAGTAATCTAAAAAAATGGTCAAATTTTGTGACTCGCATGACATATTTTGAGGGAGTTTTCAAGATGAAAACCTGGGAAAATACAAAAAGCATTTGAAAAAATTTCTGATGTTTTATCAAATAGACTGTAATAGCTACCTAATGTATGCAGATAAAGTAAAATCATATGAATGAGCTTCAGTGACTTTCTAAGTTAGTGATTTGTACCCCTGCCCCTCCTTTTTGACCACAAATTTCATCCATATTCAGGAGACTGTAACCTAAATAAAAAGTTCTTTGATTTAAAAGTTCTTTTGAGATGTAGATGGTTTCAATATCCATCTTATCAAATAAACTGAGAAAAATTTATTTTTGTCACTTCAATTTTTAAGTTTGATGATGACCCTTACACGGAATGGCTGTTGTCACATGAAGCTGAAATGAAGAAATTTGATGAGATAAGTCGGAAGCAATACTCACTTCAGACACCCAATCAGAAGGAAGTGCCAGATGTTCAAGTATCCTCTCCTGAGCCTGTGCTGATAAGTACCGTCGTGTGGAGAACCTAGGCCATCAACCACTCAAGACCCTCCTAAGCAAACACCCCCTGCAAGGAAATCTCCTCGAGGAGTGCTCACACCAAGGAAAAAGAAACTACAGAAGAGACTTGCATTTCTGTCGAAATCAAATCAGAAAATGAAGCAGAGGCATGTTGAAAGTCTGAATGCGTTGAAGACAAAGCTCCTGACTCATGGCAAAGTGAAGCACCTAAATCAGGTCATAACAAGAAAGCAGGCAACAATTGTCAAACTGAGAACTCAACTTCGGTTGAGTACTGTTGCAGAAGAATTAATACAAAATAAAAACAAGCTTGCTCGGGTTTGATGAAGCTATCGTCGATCAAAGGGATTTCAAAAAAGTAGGAAGTCGATTGCTACTGAGGCTTAGGATGAAGTTGTGAGATTGAGAAGTCAATTGAAGTTGAAGGCTGATGAGATAAGAAATCTTGAAAATGAGAAGCTTGTCTTGCAGGAAGAAGCAGAGGCATTGCGAGCAACAGGTTCCACAGTTTTGCAGAGAGAGGGGAAGATGTTTCCATTCAACATGCGACTGTTTGTGTATGACTCGTTAGTAAACCATGTACCAACCAGAAATATACCACCATTAACTGATGCATTTGCAAAATGGATGGGCATGAAAATTGACAGCCTACCACACAGGAGTACAGTGGAAATGATGGCAAGAGAGTTAGGTATTGTATCAGACTTCCAAGTGGCTGAAGTACTTATGGAGCAAGACAACCTAACAATAGAGGGATTTCACATTAGCGCCATCTGCGCATATCTGCATCGAAAGCGAGGCTCTCTGTGTTGAACGCCCGCAGAGTCCACACAGTACATGCAGTATCCGGTTTGTAAGTGTGACGCCACGTCAGTTTAAACCACGCGCACTGCACAAGATACATGACCACCGCAGGTACATTAGTTCGCGGTTAGTTGCCGTTATTTTTCCTTTGATTTTACGTGTCGAGTCATCCTGAAAGACTCTACCATAAAAATTTGCAGCCTGGAACGTCTGAATTTAACATACCTTTATGTATTTTGTGTCTTGACTCCTTACTTTCAATCCTCTGATCATATTAAGAATTGAAGCTGACACGTACAGCCTTGTTTTCAAATCCGGAAGTGCTTAGATCGACGCTAAAAGTGTCGTATTGGAATCCCTCTATAGGATTTGATGCAACAACCCAAGAAGGGCTACATGTCAGTAGCATTCATGTCACCAGCGGTAAAGCTTGCCACGTTATTTCTCTTGACCCACTGCCTGGGGGCATGGCTACAGATTATGGGCAGCACATCACAGACCCTGTCAAGCGTGTTGCAGAGGTCTACTGTGCCTTTCATGGGACAAACTTTGAACCCGTTCGATGTAACATGGTTAGTCATATTAAAAATACTATGACTGACTGAGTGGCCGTGAATCATGCTACCATTGTTCGTCTGGAAGAGACATGGGGGAAAAGCCTAAATGAACTGAATTGCCACCTCCACCCCCTTGAGACAATTGCTAGCTCTTCAAGATCTGTACTTAAATCTGCTGAGAGTGGAAAGGGCAAGCTAAATGTCCTAAACCCGAGCGATACCCTCTCCACCAAGAAATATTTCTTTTGGAGATAACCTTGAAGATGATAGATAAGTCTTGAGGGTTTGCATGGTGAAGAGGTATAATAGAAAGTAGGTTTGCGGTAGCACCATGGACGTATCTCTTTTGTGAGTATTTGCGGTTCTAAAAAGAACCAGTGGTACTTGACGTTTCGAGCAGTATGAGCAGTATGCTCTGCTCGTCATCAGGAGAATGCTCGTCATCAGGAGAATTTGAGCGTTGTTCCATCAAACGCTCGAAATTGATCAACAACCTAGCCTTCCTGAAACGATGCCATGATACCAACATTTTGCCTCCTGGCCTTCGTGTCCGAGATCCCATCCGGAACACGAAGTCTCAAGGTATTGTTCACCAGTACAGCCTAGCCCTTCTCCGACACCGCATCCAAGCCACAAGATTGACCCTGGCACACCTAGACAGACAACTTTCCACTGCACAGGATCATGTCGCTACAGCGGTTTCGACTGAAGACTTCACCAAGATCAAGAGAATGGCAGAGAGTGTCTGCCGCCATGTCTTCGGGTCAACTCGCTGCCGACAGATCAAGAAATTCAGTCGCCTCTCCAAGAACCAGAGTAAATCCCATATTCCCAGTCGGACTATAGGATCTTCTATATCCTCATGTCCATACCCTACTAAGCCCCACCTCCATTCACGAACTGCGTTCACAAGGCAAACCGTGGTCAACCTCAGTCACCGCCACTTGTCACACACGGAATCCAGAGTCCTTGCCCTCGGTATGAAGTTCACCTTGGTCCCGCGGTCCCCTCCAATAGTAGACATCATTCAGTCCGTTGAGCCAGCCCTTCGCCACCTGAACAAGAGCGCTGCAGACGATGCCCGCCTCCACATCAGCCAAGCCCTCAAGAACCACAAGCCCGTCAAGCCCAACATCTCCAAGACCGAACAGCAAGCCATCAAAAGCCTACTAAGAGATCACTCCATCCACATCCTAACTGCAGACAAGGGGAACGCAACTGTCGTCATGGACAAAGCTGACTATGACTGTAAGGTCCCTACCAGCCCCTTCACAAGAACCCCATACCTTCCATCCAAAAGAGATTCCATGCTAAGCTCCTAGCCTTCCAATGGTCAGACAAAGTCTCCATGGCCCTATACCAACAGCTTCGACCCTCCAGTACAAGATGTCCAAGATTTTTCGGCCAGCCCAGGATACACAAGACCGGTATCCCACTCCGACCCATCGTAGCTTCCCGAGGCGGTCCCACCTACAACACCACCAGGCACCTCACCAAGATCCTTCACCCTCTGGTTGGCAACACCCCACATCATATCAAGAACTCTGACCAGTTCGCCCAGTTCATCGACGGGTTGTCTCTACGCCCCACAGACATAATGGTAAGCTTCGATGTGGTCTCTCTCTTCACTAATATACCCACATCTGAAGCATGCACCATCGCCAAGGATAGGTTACTTCAAGATCCCTCACTCAGCGACCGGACCAACCTCACACCACATCAAATTCCATGATCTCCTGATCAGCTGCGTATCATCTTCCTACTTCCAGTGGAGAGACAAATTCTTCAAGCAGTCTTCAGGAACCTCCATGGGATCGCCTCTATCCCTGGTTCTGGCAGACCTGTTCATGGAATATTTGAGCAGACAGCCCTCTTCTCCGCGGACCTCAAGCCTAGCGTATGGATCCGGTATGTGGACGACACAGCCCACAGCCCACAAGACCTCCAGCTGTTCCTTCAACACCTCAACAGCCAACACAACGACATCCAGTTCACCATGGAGAAGGAACAAGACAGACGCATTGCATTCTTGGATGTTGAGGTTTCAAGACTACAAGATGGCACCCTGTCCCGCACAGTGTACAGGAAGCCAACACACACACCGACCTCTACCTGAACAACCGGTCATTCCACCACCCCCGCATCATGGCCTCCGTCCACAGAACCCTCGTGCGTCGAGCATACAACATCTGCGACCAAGACCACCTGCAACCGGAACTCCATCACAGTCAAGACAGATCAAGACCCTAGACCCCCTCCAGACCAGCGGGTCTCCTATACCCAAGGTCAACCCATTAGGCACATTAGTTCTGTCACCCTCCCCTACATAGGCAGTACCTCCCACATAATCCAGCGCATCCTTCTACACCGTGGCATCAAAGTCTTCCATACTGCCCCCAACAAGATCCAAGCAGCTCTCCAGTCTCACAAGGACAAGCAAGACCCCAAGACCAAGCCAGGCGTCTACAGGATCCCCTGCGAATGCGGCAAGGTGTATATCGGCGAGATCTCACTACCAGACTCAGTGAACAACGAGCCCACGGAAGACAGGGGGATCTCGAGAAATCTGCCTTCATCAAACACTCCAGCACTGAAGACCACCAAGTCCACTGGCAACAAAGCCATCTCATTGCCAACATACATGTAGAACAATGGCATCCACGCCGTGTTCGTGAGGCAATTGAGATTCACAAGAACAGAACAGTTCCGCAAGACACAGGCCTCATCATCAGTGACATCTGGCGCCCCATCCTCAACCCTTCTAGTTCACCTTATGGGTCATCTGTACCCTTGGCACCCTGCCCCAGTTCTTCCTTTAGTCTGCGTATGGGTCCTCGAAGTTAAAAAAATTTTTAAAAACGGCATTCTCCTGATGACGAGCAGAGCATCATGCACGAAACGTCGAGTACCACTGGTTCTTTTCAGAACCTCAAATACTCACAAAAGAGATACGTCCATGGTGCTACTGCAAACCTACTTTCTATTATACTTGAATATGATGATCAGCTGAAAAGCTTCAGCAATGTCCCGTTAACGCAGAGCTATTTGTTGATATGATGAAAAGTTGTTTGGAGAACATTGGTAGCGTGCTTGAAAGACAATACAAAAAGCACTTCATCACAATCACTGAGCAACTTAGGAAAGAAACAGCGTCAGCATCTCTCCATAACATTGATGCAGAGGAAGTAATACGCATGTTTGGTGCTGCTAAGGATCACGCACCAAGTGCAACAATGAGCTACATGTATTTGTCATCCAAAATTAGAGCCTAGAAGAACAACAGTGTATCTTGACAACCTGGAAGAAAAGAAAAAAAACCAAATTGATTAAGCTGGCTGTGACCTTGGGAAGGAAACAAAAAGAAAACACATGAAAAAGAGGTACAGAAATCAGGGTCGAAATATCTAAACGGATAGCTGTTAAGCTAGAAATGAAGGGAAAAAGATTGAACGAAAGCTAAAGACCCCAATTCTAGACTTGGTATATGACTTTCCTGAGTTGGATGCAAGTGTCCAGCAAAATGTTCAAGATATTCTAACAGGGGAATTTGTTGGCCGCAGGATCTTGCATATTTGGTATGATGAAGACAGTGGAAGCAAAAACTGTATATCAATGCCAAATTGAAAAGCTCCAGAAGAAGCTAGGAGGGACATACGTTATTTCATACTGGAATGATGCTGCAAGCGATACCTACGATGATGCAGTGGAATACGACATCACAAAATACGCCCTTGCCGCTGACCTTATCACTGAGGATGTGATACTACACTAAAACCTCCATACCAAGTACAGGTAAAACATAAGGGCATTACATGGATGTGTGCAAAACATAAATGGTCACCCTGCTAATTGACAAATTAATCAAAATTGAACATCTATCATAATTGTAATGAGTAAACATTCATTGCAGTGTCTTATGTGAAATTTTGATGACATTCTGACTTGTAATAAGAAAGTTCTAATGCGCCATAAAGCATGCAGTACATAGATGTGCGTAAACCATTTATAGTCACTGCACTAACTGACAAATTAATCATTGTGTTTACTGATTGTAATTAAACATCAATTATCATATAATAAAAATGAATACCCAATGCAACATCTTGTGAAATTTTGATGAGATTATGACTGGTAATAATGAAGTTATAGTGCAGCAAAGTAGTTAGTGTCATGAAAACTCCAAAATACCAGTCACAAATTTTCTTTTGTTTTTCTTTGTTTTTGGAGGACGAAATTTTACCACCAATTCCCAGGTTTATAATGAATGGGATGCTCTTAATTTTTCAGCTAGAAAGATATCTATACATCATGTTAAAGCTCTTTCTGAGCTCTTTAAAATGGTAACCATTTCTGTTAAATTTGGGGAAGTTTAAATGTTTTGTCACATACCTACATATGGGCCTCTCCTGTGGTTTGCTTAGAGGACCATGTTTGCCCATAGAGTTATTGGCCAGAAACTCTACACGCTCGTATTTGAATAGGAGGAGGCGGTGAAAACTTTAAGTGCTGTGCATGTGTCGAGCAAAAACAGTCAGATTTTGACAGATTTGAAGTCAGAAATATCATTGAAGCCCAACAGTTTGATGTTGGCATTTACGGAAGCCAGTAGGTGGTGATAGAGGTATTTTTGGTGAGTCTTTGGAATTTTTGAGAACCATTTTCACCTAACTATATGTACAGGCGTGGAGCGTTAGTATGACGATCCCATCCAAAATCATAAAAAAGAGGAATACTAAACGCTCCACTTCAGTGGAGCTAATCTTTACTGCATATATAGTCGAACCTCGTTAATAAGAGCACTGTTAAGACAAGATTCTGCTTATAACAAGGAAAATTTTAGATCCCAATCCTTTGTTTTTTCATTGTTTTCATTCCTGATAATACAAGTTCCTGCTATAACAAGGTAATTTGCCAATCCAAAGGACCTCTTATTAACAAGGTTCCTCTGTAATTAAGTGGAAATAAAGAAAGAATGAATAAATGAATGAATAAGTAACAGTTTTATTGGCAAATCATGAAGTAACTCAGTAAGCCAGCTGCTGTCGCAAATGTTGAGCCATAATCTACCTATGGCACCCAACTCTCACCTTACATTTACATGATGTGCAGTGTCTTTAACAATATATTATTATAGTGGACAGTGACTATATCATGACCAGGCCTATATCATGACCAGGCCTACATCATGACCAGGCCTACATCATGACCAGGCCTACATCATGACCAGGCCTACATCATGACCAGGCCTACATGTACCTACTTTTCCTTTAGTACCGTAGTCTGAAAGTAGTGTGTTCAGTTACTGTCTTTGTGTTAACCCGTACAAGCACAGCTGTGTTCCATTTGACAGTACCGAGTAACATGATTTCTATTGCTTACTCAAGTCTGGTCCGAATGACCAACCTACCAAGATGGTTACCATGGTTACTTCGGGAAGTAGGCCTATCCCAGAATGTAATGCTTTAACAAAGCAGCTGATAGTCAAATGTTGGACAGGACTTCTTAAAAATAATTCAGATGCATACCGATGCTTAGAAGAATGTTGTAAAAACCCTCATAAAGTATGTACATCCTAAGAATTGTCCACCCTGGTCAATTTTGCATCTGTAGATGTGGGTCGCAAAATATGGAGGTGTCTCCAATATCTTGGCCCCATCAGATGAGGTAGTACTTACACAGAGAGACACTTTCATGCGACTTTTGAAAGTACATGTACATGCAGTAGAATGGCCTTCAGCATCCAACTATATATTTATATAACAGG